GGAATACTGAGGAAAATAAGCACCATCGCTGTGATCGAAACCTAGACATGCACTACTATTATGCAATCACGTCTCGAAATCGACTCGTCCTGTTCATAAACGCGATTAGATCGTGTTCAGGAACTAGCTGCCTACAGCTCCATAGCTGACATTGTGCTTGAAGTGGTTCAGCTTTACATGACTAAAATTATCCTACGACAATATGGCCACGACAATAACTCCCGCAGATGCACAACAAATCTGCTGTCAAGTCACGGGAGTCACCGTCGAACATAAAAATAAGAGCTTTACCAATCAGGTTGGTGCGTTCGAAGGGGCTCATATTCACTGTCCTGAGAACACGTTTATTTTCGTGTCGTAGAAATTCCTCTATATCGAGAACTCAGTGATTCTTGTTGATTTCTATGGGATGGTGCTCCACTGAAGGGGCATTCGAAAGAATTTGTGTATGCCACCTGTGTCCTGCACGTGGATTTGTATGGGAGAACTTGAGAATTCTAGACTTCGTGGACTGCCTACACTTCATGGGTTGAACTTGGATGCAAGATCCAAGACTATGAGCCCCGCACGAAGGCTCTTGTCGCGCACACCGTATGGGTTTAGCCTGAACCGTCATCGCCAATCGGAAAGTGCTTTCTAAGAAATGCGAGACAAAAATTCCCGCCGGCCTCTTCTCGAAAACCCCAGGTGACGGTGAAACCACTGGATGACGGTGACACACGAACGGTGTACGTATACCGTCAGCCCAGATGGCATACGGTCGGGGTTGATCTAGCGGTGGGTTGCTGGATCTACTGACATTTGACATCCTGATGGAGTACGGTTCCTCTTCCGCAAGAAGTAGACGTGCTGTGCTGTCCCTGCTTTCATTTCTTTCTCTCCTCGCGTAGCATTCACAATACTATACATATACGTACACTGTTTTCTTGTAAAAGTTCTCAATAATTACAGTCACAAGATTAGGCTTCTCTGTCAAAAATATACTGAACCAAAATGCAATGCCATCGGAGGGGACCGGATGGATGAATCAAACAAAGTCGCGTCATTGGCCAACGTAGTAGATATTCGCAGAAAAATGGAAAGATTCACACCTTGTGCTGAAAACACTGTCATTCATGCAGTTGGACCGTACATGAGGTACACGATGCACAAGTTCTCCTTTATTAATGTTTCTCCTCATCAAACAGTAAATTGCACAGAATCTAAAAGCATGATGTATTAAATGCATGCTTGGATATGCATGACATGAGAATAGTATGCAGTGAAGATAAGGGTGGGAACCATGTCTGAAATTCGAGCCGAAAGCAGGTGATATTTAGCGTTCACGAGATACGCAGCAATTCATACACTGCGAGTGCACCATGGTACGAGCACACACACTCCAAACTGCAACAAAAGGCGTGAGGCGGGATCGAATCTTATCCAGAAGGATTAGAAGACCGAAAAATATGACTGCAAATCCCGGTGAATGAACTCTTCAGTATAATGGGTATTAGCTAGTTGCTTTCCCGCCTAGTGGTTGCACAAAATCTTCCTGACTGGAGTGGGTCCTTGTCAGGATTCAGATGTGTCATGGCGGATAAGAGTTTATCATAATCCAGTATCTGTTAACACATCGCCTTTCTACAGACCTTGTTCAGGTGGACTAGCCTAGCAGTGAGTGTGTGTGTATGTATATATTTATAAATACAGATTGAAAACGAAACATTGCAGATTTCGGGATATTATATTATCTTGTAAAATAGCGAGAAAAATAATTATAGGGGATTCTCGAGTTCTCTTCTTCTTCTGCCGTTGACCTGGAATTCATTTTACGTGGAGTCTAGGGGTGAGCTTTGATTAGGACTTCGGTTGAGCAGATACATGGCAACGTCGGAATCAGCAATGTGAAAGTTAGCCCAAGAGATAGGGTCACAAGGGGCTTTTCGCTCAGTCGAATGAGTTTTCGTGCTCGTATGAAACTACTTCTCTAGTGTACATGAACGTGCAATGCTCCTATCGAGAAAGCTGCCAGCAGCGATGACCCGTTTGCAGGATTACGGCACGCTGTTGGGGAAAGAACGTACGCTTCGATCTACCACCACCAACAAACACGGATGTCATGTCGAGCTCGAATAACGCGTAGGACAAGCACTACGCACATCCATGGAATGTAAGAAAATGCACTACTGTGAGTCTTGCGTTTGGAAAAATGGTTGTGAGAACGGCATGCCCTGTGAAAACGCGTGGCATGGCATGCTCATGATGCGAGAACCTTCGAAAACTCCACTCACTCGGTAAGAACGTGACCACAAGTCCACCAGAAAGACACGAGCAAAGGTTCACACATCACTTTTAATGCACTCCACGTTCTTACCGAAACATGAGAAGGAGGATTAAAGAGAGCGCACCAGACCAAGATACATGTACAACAAAAGTGAGGAAAGAAAAGGAGAATTTGATACCATGCCTTACCAACTTCAAAAGTTGCTCCCGACGTCAAATACTAGAGGAAATGATGCTCCTCTGAACTCATACAGTCATTGAGGTCTTGGGACGACTAAAAGGACATGGAAGAACAGAAAAGGAATGATGGAAAAGCACTGAAGCGGCATGATGACACGAGAACAATCCATCCTTGACTCAGCTCAGATATTTGATGAAGTGGAAGCTCGACGCAAGAACCAGAGTGCCCACCACGGGTCCCTTTTCTCGCACTCGATGATCATCTGTATGAGGAGCAAAATCATCCAATTACCAACAATCATGATTTGATGATTTTTGCACTTTCGTGAGAACCTTCATTGTGCTGCCAATTTGACACAAGTTCCAGGATTAGATAGAGGACCGAGAAGAGCAGGGCACCAAGTAAAATACCACAAGACCTGCACACCTGGACACAATAACAAAGGATGATTTCTTCTTCTTTCTTTGCCTTTGATTCGGCCAAGGTGTTGACTGGAATAAGTACCATCGTTGGATATATGATGCCGAGACCGAAGGCAGAGCAATCAGCAATGAAATTTGTTTTAAGCTTCCTCTACAATTTCTTTAATAGTAGGTCACTCTGATGCCCAATGGATTGTTTCTCATTGGTGGAGGATCTTCTCTCTGCTTTAAATTTGTATTATTTACTATTTCATGAAAAATAAAAATTGGGATTTTTATGAACAAGGTCGACTTTCTCACCTTTTCTATCGGGCGAGAGGGCTTCCCGTATAACTGTTTTCCAGCATGCATAATATCTACGATACATACCAATAGAAGCCCTCTGAAAACGTGTAGGAGCATTCCAGTAACAATACTTATTTTTTAAAAAAAATTAGTTAAATAAGTATTCAATGTCTTTCTCTTGGATTAGAGTTCCCTGCATTTTGTCATAGTTTAAAGTATGATTCTCGATATGTATCCCTTCGCAAAATTTTTAAGTTTCCAACATATTGATTGTAGGGTTTATATAAAGTCAAAGGATAAAATGGTATGATCCAATGGATGCTGCATATTTCTCTTGTGTAAAAAGAAACGTATGCAAAATAAAGATATATATTTTTCCTCTGAGAAATCTTAAAACTATTATGCAAAAAAAATTTAATATTTAATCCAAATATACACCTATCTATCCAAAATATTCTTCTATCTTCTTTAATCAAGAAATTATGGGGTTCATATGTTAGTGACATTCAGAACTTGTATAAGCTAAGGATAGAAAAATTACTTCTAAAATTAAGAGAATCGGTTATGTTTCTATATCCTGGGGGCATACAAGAAATATGAGGATATTTGGTATAAATCTAGAGCCAACAACCTCTCATACTTCTCAATACTAGAATGTAGCATAATTTTCTTCTAATTTTACAACAGCAAATGAAAAAACATCAATTATTAAACCCCTCTACTCCTGTTCACTCCTCCACTACTGGTTAAAACATAGATAGATCAACTCGGAATTTTTCTAAGTCATTTGATATAAATTCCTTTCTCTCATAATAGTCTCAAATTGATCTCTAGTGAAGGAAGTTGCAGTTGATATACAGTTTCCGATGCTACTACAGCTTGTAAGATATGAACATATGTAGATTTAGCCGAGCCTATGTGGTCTTGCAGGTGCAAGAAGGATTGGCCTTCCATTCTACCTGCCAAAACAGCGCATCACATCGAACTCAAAAGTTTCGCCTAGTGCTGGTGCCCTTCACATAATGTATTTAGGAATTAAGAAAAGTTTCCTGGAGATTTATTGGATTCCAACCAACCAGTTGTCAGGAATTCATACGTTACGAAGATGTCGAAATTCCACTTAGAAAATAGGAGATATCTTACACTCAACAAACCATTACACGATGGTGTAATGGGTTTGGCAATTAGCATTAGCAAATCTCGGCAAAGCCAAATTGGGTCCTTGTGTTCATACATGTAAAACTCGATGGGTCTTCCCATTGTTTTTGGCTAGTTACCTTATACTTCACACTTAGTTTAAGTCTATCACAAATAGTGATAGAACAAAAAAGGGGGAATCCTCTCGATCTGGGAATTTTCCATGTGAATTTTCGACCACTGACTTAAGAAGAGAAAAATTGATATCAGCATCACTTCTAAGGTTGCTCGTGACCAAAGATGACGAAGAATCTTGAATGGTAGGTCAATCTAATGCCCGAATGATTGATTGGTTGTGAGCCGTGTCCGAGGAGCTTCCTCTCTCTCTCACAAATAATCGGAGATCATATGAATAACGAAAACATAAGAGTGCACGTACAAGATTGTCTTTCTCTCCTCTCCCTTCCTTCAGAAGAGGACTTACATGGGAAGTATCTGCCATCACATCTCGACGAATTCACTCGAAGACTGAAAAACTGATCCCATCTGCAAAGGACGTACGAAGACACAACCGGAGAAATGTCGTCGAGATGAAAGCGGAGAGAAGCTCAGAACGGAAGGGAAACGAATGAATTTGTCGAGGGGAGAGACATCGCGGGATACAGAGCGTTCGGCTGCACAGACATGAGACATGATCGGCAGGCAATACAATGGGATCACCGGAAGCACCGGCAGCACCGGCAACGCATGACCGCGACCGAGGCCTGCGCCGGTCATGCCACGACCGGAACCACGCAAAAGTTCGTCGTTCGTCGGGTCCTGGCCCACCCGCGGCCCGCTCGGTGAGCGGGATGACGGCCGGACCGAGGAACAGGGACCGAGGGGCCGCCGATCTCGGAGATCTGACGGCGGAGGACGAGATCCGGTCCCGCCCGCGCGGAAGGCATGACCCGGTCCCGGGAGTCCGGCCTGGCGTGTGCGCTTCGTGCGATGAATGGGACGTCGAGGACGGTACGACGCTGAAGAAGAGCGCGGGGCCGGATGCAGACTCGTACTTGGAGGCGGAGTCGAGCTCGCTCGCCCGCTCCTGCTGCTGCTGCGCAAGAAGACGAGGGCGAGAAGGAGGAGGAGGAGGAGGAGGAGCAGCAGGAGAGACGACGACGACGACGAAGGGACAACGAGCGAGGAGGAGACAGTGATTGGCTGATTGAATGAATGAAATGAATTGATTGAATGAGAGAAGTGCGACGAGATGCCATGCTCTCTCCGGCCAGCTAACCAACATTAGCAGCGACGCAGGCGGAGCTCCGGGTGATGCAAAAGCGAATGCTTTGGAACGCAAGGCAGAGCGGAGCAAGCAGATAGACAAGCCCTCGCTTAGCTCTTTCCTTCTTTCTTTCTTTCTTTCTTTCGTCCGTCCGTCTCTCCCTCCCTCTCGTCTCTTCCATCATCTTATTCTTCTTCTTTTTCTTCGTTGTCTCGTCCGCCCGCGAGCGACGCAGCGCGTGCGTTGGGGCATTTGCCTGCCAGCTCAAACAAGATTGGGCGAGTGCTGCTAGTGCTGCGGCTTGCTTGTTGGCTTGCTCGCCAACCTCTTCCTTCCTCCCGAGTCCCTCTTTACTCTTCTTCTCCACTCCTCTCTTTGCATCGAGGGCAGGGCAGGGCATTGCAAGCAGGCAGGAACCGTAGAGCAGGAAGAGTATGATCGTCTCCCTTGGGCGGTATCAGGATCGCCGGCATTGATTTGCTTTGCTCTTTCTCCATCTCCTATAGTACGTGGGGCGCACAGCACCTCCGTTTTTCCTCGATTGTCTCAGGGGAGGCAAATTGCAGAGGTCAGTCGTCAGGTAGGCGCGGCGTGAAGAGTCGGGGGCATAAGGAAGATAGATCTGGGAGTAGATCGGGAGACTTGTCGCGAGTGTGTTAGGGAATTTTCGAAGGGGAGCCGGGACTTCTTACTGTCGAGAAGAGGACGACGGGGTAGAAAGAGTCAATAGGCCCGGTGTGAGGAGAACGACGAGGAGGGAGGAGGAGCTTTGAGTCAGGACAGAGGCCGGAGAGACGCAGCGACGAGGCGGAGGTGGTGAACAGAGACGCCGTAGAAGGAACGCGGAGGAGCGAGACTGTTGCCTTGTGTAGTTCTCAGGAAGCGGACGGCATTTTGATTTCTTGACGATTGGAAACATATTTCATGAGTTGGAAATTTCCCCGCACTTGGGATCTGTTGCTCTTCCTGGTCGCCTCACGGCGAATGGCGCTACAAGCGCAAATTTTCTGAGATTTTTCCAACAACAGATAGTCTGATCAGGAGGATTCACCACGAATTTGTAGCACAATTTGAGTGAAACGACAACAATGTACATCTACATTCTTTAAAGGATAGAACTCTCTGCGAATGCTCGACGTCCTCTAAGAAGGAGACTTCAGGGGCGAGCTTAGGCAGTTAGGATCATGGCGGCCGATCCGCTGACCGTCGGACAGGTGACCCTCAAACTCTTTGCCTTCCATCAAATTGTTGAGATCTGTACTCCGCCCAGTACGGGGACTGACGCAATTTCTCAGACGTGTATCCCCTGTTTACGGAGAGCAGAGCTGGGTTTCTTCTGCCCAGTGTATCCCCTGTTTACGGAGAGCAGAGCTGGGTTTCTTCTGCCCACGATGATTCTCAGGGCCGGATTCTGGTGAACGATAATATCAATTTGATCTTACATTCTTTGTAATCGTCTTTCGTTCCCTGATTGCAATTCACACGCCCATCTGAAAGATTTTTACTGTGAGACGCCTTCTTTCTCTACAAGAAAATGTCCCACCTTTCACCATTATCAGATCCATTCCGTCGGTCTTGCTTTGACTGCGAGACAGGGTTAATACAAATTGCGACACACACCCGTGGCAAGCCTGTTATGTTAGCTTATGCCGCACGCAGCTTCTTATTTGCCGATTGTCGGTAGACGTGAAAATCTACTGACAATGGGCACATAAGATTGATAATTTAGATTATTCTGTTTGCCTAGAGCCATCACCTAAACGAAACAGCGCCTTCAAGAGTTTCAAAATACAATATGCGATGGTTTTGAGATTGCATGGATCTATGTCGTAAATCTACGAGGAAGTCCTGAAACCATAATCTTCCGATTCAGAGCAGAGCAGATCAGTCTAATCAGATTAGCTGATGCAATGTATGAGTGACAGGAACAAGAAAAACTATTTAACGGAGCTCACATCTTTTTCGCACAAAATGTTTTATGTCTTTCTAGAACAAGAAGAGCGCTTGTACAAAGTCCTGCAAAGCTGGAATTTGGATATGAGACGTGCGTATATTTTTTGTTATTGATGCACTTGATTTCAGCAGAACTGGGCTCGTGGAATAATCTCGTCATTCGCATTTCTGATCGCAGGTGGCATTTTTTCTTGGGATAGTGCCAGTAATAACAGCATGGATCTACTCTGAATTTCTTAATTTCAGAAGGCATCCTGGCCCTCCTAAAGTGTAAGTGTCTCGATTATTTCATATTCAGTCTTCCTTTACAGTGAACCTTATTCTTCCAACGTAGACCTAGTCCTTGGAGAAAAACCTAGCTCGTGCAGCAGTGTAAGGAAGATGTTTCAACTAATATGCTCGAACAGGCTTATGCCATGTGACCTGTTGGGTGAGATGACTCACAAAAATACTTGCTAAGTAAAATACTTCTTTTGAGAAATCTTGTCTGCGATCCACTTTAATTGTAATTTCGCCCCTTTGATGAACTTCTGTTCATCAAAGTCATGATACTCATGACTTAGTATATCTTACCTTCTCTAGATCTTAGTTCAGTTCAGCACATTCCGCAGGGACCAAAGCCAAGTCCAGATCCGTGTTCGCTGAGTGCTAATATAAGAGTTAGTATTATCAACATGTACGTGGAGAATTTTGAGTGCCCCTCGACCTGGAACTATCCGGTTGTTTTATGTTCATGTACATCCTTAAATCTGAAGAAATATTTGGAGGAGCTTCTAAGCATGTGGAGACTATGATAGACTTGCTCGAATCAACTACGGTAGTTTGTCCAGAACGTTAAAAGAGCGTGACAAGGCTCATAAGTTACAGACAAACCATAGTTTTGATCCGTGCACTTTCCGCTCCTCGACAATGAACCTTACTTGAACAGATAAATAAACTCCACATAATGACATCGATAATCTGCACCCGGAGTATGCAAATGTTCTGAAGCTTGTGGTTTGGTTGCCAAGAATTGTGTGAAGTCAAATGACATATTTCTGACCAAAGAGGTCTCAAGATGAAGTGGGTGCTAGAGAGTTTCATAATTCATAGTTTCTTGAACGTCACAATGTTGCTCCTTCTTCTACTCTTGCTTCCATGCACTTTACTGTTGAGCAACAGCATGACTGAGTGTACCCTACACATGCGCATGTGTGCCAGAGATTCAGAGATGGGGGTTCTAGTTGGCTCTGGTCAAGATTCATTACCAAAGTTATTTACTGGTGAAAGTAGTGGGTAAGTCAATATCAAGTTCCTGGTTTCAGCACCTTCTTGCTGTTGCAACCCTCACTTACTGTTTTGGAGGTCATGCTGTCTTTGCACAACTTCCATTACCAGCAGACTTACATATCGATACGCACACATCTATATACGGGTCTTCTATTCTTCACATTTCCTCGCCATTTTTATGTATATTAGGTGAGGTTTGTGAAAACTTCTGTATCTCACGTTTTCACTTCCCTCTGGTCCAAGTAATCACACAATGATAAAATGTAATTAAGTTGACCCACCAGCTAAGATTTCCTCTTTCCCATTCTAAATACTATTTCCTCGAGTAGACGTGGACAACCAACGTGTGACAGTATGTTTGTATTCGTAGAATAGAGCTGATACGAGAGTAGCGATCATTGCGGTGAGGGTAAAATTCCTGCATAAAATACTCTAATGGTTAGAATTTTTGCTTTTTTTGGCGCTTTCTCAGAGGTTTGAATGTTTTACGAAACTTAGACAATAGTACCCATGGCAAGAGATTTCATTTCGATATGTTTCGCTCATCTTACAGGCACTCAGACATCAATATTGTTGACACTTCATCCAAGAATGAAGAAAGAGACGGTCTGCTGGAGGCGGGCATGCAGCCTGCTGGGAAAGGGGCTGTCCCTTCAGTTAAAACACAAGTTCTCAAGTATGTGCTCTCCCACTTAACATTGTGTTGATGAAGTTATTCACATTTGCAAGTTCTGATTTGGAAAAATTCTTACCAGTGAGATATCTCAGTCAGGTAGTGCTCTCACCAAAATTCGAAAGAGGTCTTTTATTAATTTTATAGACTTTTCATCTGATTTGCAGATTCTTAACAATGAACGAGACTTTCCTGCTGGAGAATCGTGGGACTCTAAGAAATATGTACGTATACTGCAAAGTTTCTCATGATAGACCTACGCTCCTCCTTTTTTGTATAAGAAAGGTGTTCATCACTTTTAACACATTTGATTTTTTCCTTGTGCAGTGGAGAAATGACCGCTATTCTTTTTTATTTCTTCCTCTGTGATAGAACCAACGTTCTTGGGGAATCCAAGAAGGTAATGTCCGACTTTACGATTCATGGGCAGTGCTAAGATTCTTGTGGATTGCTTGTATCAAATCTACATCTGGTGCCTTCAAGCTTCTGTAATTTCAGCGTAACGTTCAATTACTGTTTAGATCCCTTATACTCATTCACCTTCTGTAAAGTGTTGCTTCTTGGCTGTTAGTCTTTCACATGGCTTCTTATAACAACAAGCCTCTGAGTTGCTAATTGGGATTTTCATTGTCTTACAGGACTACAGTCGAGACCTGTTTATGTTCTTGTATTTGCTGCTAATTATAGCTTCTACGCTCACCTCTCTTAAGAAGCATGCGGCAGATAAGCCGCTGGCGGCAGGCAAGTCCATCCTCTATCTAAACAGACATCAGACTGAAGAATGGAAAGGGTGGATGCAGGTAAGCTTTGATGTATTAAAATATTTCTGAAGAGTTCGTTCTTCTTAATATGTGTCAATCTACTCTATGTCTTGTTCTGTGAATCAATCCAACGTCCTCATTTGGTACTGTGTGGGGTCTTGAAACTTTTACACTAATAACGTCTTGAAGCTAATCGGTATCAGTAGCTAGTTTAGACTTTAGATGTGAATAGATATATTGACTGTAACTCTTACCGGTGGAATTTGCAGGTGCTTTTTCTGATGTATCATTACTTTGAGGCTCGTGAGATTTACAATGCCATACGTGTTTTTATTGCGGCTTATGTGTGGATGACTGGCTTTGGTAACTTCTCATATTATTACGTGCGTAAAGACTTCAGTCTTGGCCGTTTTGCCCAGGTATGTGTTACTCCTGGTATGGTGGTGTCGATGTACAGAGTGCAATAACTTAGCCTCACGGGTGCTTTCCAACTTGCAGATGTTCTCCCGTTAGGGTTGAAGTATGAAGAGGTATTCAAGCAGGCTTACCATCTTGTTTACACTTTGTTTTTTCGGGAAACCAACTTCTTGATCTGACTTTTGTGTTGGCAGATGATGTGGCGTCTCAATTTTCTGGTGTTTTTCGCCTGCTTGTTGCTCAACAACGACTACATGCTATATTACATTTGCCCCATGCACACGTTCTTTACGCTTATGGTGTACGGGGCTCTCGGAATCGCCCATAAGCACAACGAGAATCCTTCGGTCATGGCATTGAAAATGTTTCTATCATTCCTCGTCATTGTCCTCGTTTGGGAAATTCCTGGTGTTTTTGAGATCCTGTGGAGACCCTTCACGTTTCTGATGGGTAGGGATCCGCCCCACATACTGTGTGATCCTTTCCATTATGTCATCTTACAAATGTGGATCCTAGGACCACTCCTTTTCTTATCGACTTCTCAAGTGCATACAACTAGCGAAGTAGTGTCTTGAAAACTGTTTTTGCGTAAACTGAGTCTCTGTATTACAGGTTACTCGGATCCACTTCGCCCGACGACGGATCTGCTCCATGAGTGGCACTTCAGATCAGGTCTTGATCGATATGTTTGGATCGTCGGGATGTTGTATGCCTACTTCCACCCCACGGTTAGTTGCGGACTAAAACCATGAGACCGCATGAATCAAATTATAGAGATGTATCCAAAGTGTCCTTGTAGAAAAGTGGCACTGCTTGTTGTAGCCTTGATTCTTAACGATTTTGCAGCTTACAACATTGTGAGTGAGCCCACTTAGAACAGGCCCAGATTTCATGTTTGAAGTGACTTTGAGAGGGTGGTTTATGCCAAAAGTGAATGCTAGATAAGAGTGGATGTGATCTGATATATGTTTGAATGACCAGGTTGAGAAGTGGCTAGAGAAACTTGAGGAGATGGAATACAAAGGCAGAATCGCCGCGAAAACATGCATCCTAACCGTCACTTTGGTTGTAAGTATATACTTGAGTCCTTTGCTGCTACTTGTCACATCAGCGGACCTAGTTTCACTTCCTTTCTCTATTGCTGTCATTGACCAGCACCATTACCCCACAAGCCGTACGAAGCGTAATACTGTTTAACCTGTGTCACTTCCTTCTGATCTGGCGTATGTGCAGGTTGGATATCTGTGGTATGAGCATGTTTATTGCCTGGGAAAGACGGAATATAACAGACTGCATCCTTACACGTCTTGGATTCCAATCACGTACGTTCCCTTTGTGTATTGTTTGGTCATTTATAGCAAGCTTGCTGATCATGTGTATTATATGAATTTCACATCTCAAATATCATCTGGTGTCTTTATTGTGCAGTGTGTACATAGTACTCCGAAACTTCTCCCAGTCTCTCCGAAACTGGTCCCTCACTCTCTTCGCGTAAGTACCTTGGTAAAATCTGCTACTTCGTTTACTGGATGGACGGAGAAATGCTTGTGAAACATCTGCCTCCGTGACTAGATGTACAAACTTTTACTGGCTACTATGTCTTACTAACTTGTCTTTTGGTGGATTCAGATGGCTTGGAAAAATTACGCTGGAAACGTACATAGCCCAGTTTCACGTCTGGTTGAGGTATTTGTGCGATCCACCCTTATCGTTGCTATACTGCATTGTCGGCAAGCCGTGAACTTCTCTGAAATCATCAACGTAGTGAAAGCTCCAAGTTCACGGAGGTGTCCCCTTTTGCAGGACTGGCGTGCCAAATGGAGCTCCGAAGTTGCTTCTATCCATTATCCCTAACTACCCCTTACTCAACTTCATGTTGACAACAGCCATTTACGTGTTGGTAAGTCTTGGACTGCCGCTGATGACTTCTACTTTCGTGATGTTTCGCATCAAGCCAGCATCATGTTTATACTCGAATTTAGCCCATGAGGAGATGGATGTCATCCACTTGATTATTCTTAATCAATAGATATATTAATGGAATCATCGAAGCTGACAGCATTGTTGCAACTGGCAGGTATCGTACCGTCTTTTCGAACTAACGAATAAATTGAAATCGGTGTTTATACCTGCCAAAGATAATAAGCGACTCGGCCATATATCATTGGCAGGGCTAGTCATATTCTTAACCCTCTATGGCATTGGATATCTTCTGGTCATGGTGCCAAGATTTCTGGTACGTCCCTCCTATTTACTCATCATGAAAAGAATTTGGAAATATCATGGAAATTTCCAGAGTTACTCGTGGATTGTGGATTGAATTTACATAGTCACTCGGTTTGATCCTGACCTCGTGACCACTCGCATGCAGGGTCTTCAATAGGCCGGGAGTTTGCAGGAAGATGAAATACAAGATGAAGCTGAAAACAAATGGGATGCAGCTTTTCAGACATCTTACATTTGACGATTTAGGACCCCATTATAGGCATCCTCTTAGATTTCCACCCATAGTTGAGCAAGTAATTCACGAAGGATCACGTTTGTCCCGTAGAGTGTCTCTCAATTTTTTATGTCCACAATAAAAGGGCAGAAAATTCCATTCACGAAGGTTTCGGTGTTCTGCGTCACCCTTTGTCGTTCATGTTGTCCCTTTGCGTAATGATGTCCTATTTTGAGTTGTTACTAACATTCGAACACAAAAGTAATATAGAAATGTTCACTGGAGAATCCTGCACGTAATGATCTGCACGTCTTTTCCAGGATTGTCTCGCTCCACGTTCCTTCTTCCCCATGGAGCTGTTAAGAGCGTTCGTCGTCGATAGTAACGACGCTGTTTTCCACATAGGCACAAACAAGTTTGTGTCTCTGCAGTGAACGCGCACAAGGGACCTAGCTCTGACTGTGGAAAGGGAGAGTTAGAGACAAGGTCCTTTCACATATGGTCAAACATTCACTAGTACCGCTTCCAAACGTAATACATTAAGATTAACGTGTTTAGCTCGGAGACTACACACTTTCTAGTAAACTCGAGCGTGAGAATCGAAGGTTCTTTCTCCAGCAGGAAACATGTTTTCTTTTAGCATGAAGCAGAGCTTACTACCAGAAGAGAATCGTCATGGAAGCCAACAGATGGCAATGAGAAAAGCTGCCATAATGGTCGAAGAAGGAGCAACGCACCACCCGAGCCCCGAATTCAACCTTGAGAGGGAGAGGGCATGCATGCACGCATGGAAGGACGTTCATGCAAACGAGACACGCTAAATTCTGAGTCCAGCGGACTCATGCCCAACGAGAAGCTTCCAGGTCTGGGGTCCAGTTGACAGTTTGGATCTTTGACCGGAGTCCACTCGAGAATCGTGTGAGAAGAACACTGCTTTTATGTTGGCTAACGCACTGTAGTCAATTGCATCATGCGCCATCGCCTCTCCACACTGTGGAGCATCAATACACACCCTCTCCATCACATTCTTTACACTTTTGCTCGACAGCCGAGTCCACTGCAACCTCAAAGGCCCCCGAGACTGCAAGACCAGCAGCAAGCAGGTAGGAGAGGCTGCGACTGTTGCCCCTGCCTGGCCTCCATGCCCATGTTTGAACCAACAGCGACCACCAGTCAGCTCCCTGGCACGACCTAACTATAAAATAAACTATAAAATAAGCTATAGTCATGCAAAAGAAGCTCCGAGCTCGGAGAAGACCAGACGGCGGCCACGACCTTCCCAACTTGACCGCTTCTCTGCTGCATAAATGTCCAACATACTTCTAGCCACTCCAGTCCCTCCCACGCGACCTCCAGTCCTCTGAGCCCAAATCTCTTTTCCCCGAGTCCTCTCCGTCTTGTCCCCACGTGAACCCAACGCTTACGATGCACGCCATAATGAATTTTGTGTCTGACAATCTGAATCTGGTCTTGCCTTCAGATGGACACTGAGCTCATGGTTCAGTTCTGAACACTTTGCAGGTGCAGGGATGGATGGCATGACTTTACCGGCCCCAAACCCTAAAGGCATGCCTACCTTTAAGTTGTTGATCCGGGTACTAAGCACACATGCATGAAGGGCAAGAAGAACAAGATGGACGAACAGACAAGGTCCGGGACCGAGCTCAGATCAGATGAGGCTCACTGCCAGACAGACAGACAGACAGCCAGCCAGACAGACAAGACTCTCAGCACGTATATCCTGCTCATAATCTGTATTATTGCTGTCTTCCATCACGCCACTCTGATCGAGTGTCTCGGATCGCCAGCCTCGGAGTTTCTGTCTGATTTCGAGCTCTCTCCACTGTTGGTGAGCCATGGATCCAGATACCAAGTCCATCGATAGGACAATGTCCGTCCGGCAGAAGGACAGACACGGTCGAAAATTTACGGGGTTTTCGCGAGGCTCACTTACTGTATAGACGGCTCGGATCGCATGAGATGCGGAACATACCATCGCCCGATCTACTCACCGTCATACGTACACCAACTCGACACACCGATGTCGATATGCTCTTTTTGCCTTGGACCTCTCTCTCTCACTCTGGCGTTGGGCTTTCTGTACTCATCGCGTCCGCTGTCCATCATCTTTCTCCATATAGCAGTCGTCTCTTGTCCTGGGGCCGAGGAAATGGACCTGGGCGTGTGCACTTTTCCTTGGCATGTACGTTTGATAGTATTCCATGGGTTCGTGTATGATTACGAACAAAAGCCGATTGACGTGCAATCCGTGTTGGAGAGTCGTACCGAGCCCAGCCGGTGGTCTTAATTAATTATGGGACCGGTGGACAGCGTACGCAGCATTGCAGAATACCGATACGGCTCGGGGGCAGATGGATGCGCGAGACGACAAGCGCATCAATCTGCAATGTTGGGCCGGCCAGTGGGTGCGGTGACATGGATGGCCAAATGACATGGAGCCCGTCTTTGCGTGCTGGGAATCACATCACTAAACATGCTCATCACGTGTCTAATCTGGACGGACCGGTGTTTGAAAAGCCTGCATGTGGTTTTGACCGTTGCCCACCTTCCCCCCCTCCCCGCCCCGCCCACTCCGAGGCTCCGACCCAGAGGGAGGGAGGGCGCCATCTATGCATCTATCTGCCCCAGGGGGCTCCCCTCCGACCCTCGAGACATCAAACCTGGATAAAGATTGCACGCCGCGGACCAACGGTCCCACGACGTCCGTGGAAAGACCGTGAGATCGCTCGCTCGCTCCCTCGATTCGACCGAACTGCGCTGTCCTGTCGCTTGCCCCTTTGACAGCGTGCGTGAGTGAGCGTGGTCAAGGTTCCCTTGCTTCCCCGGGCCAGGGGCATGGGCAGCAGGGCCTCAGCCTCCTCCTACCCGCGCACCAGGTCAGGCATGCACCTGAGTTTCATGAGGGGGCAATTCGTGCTACGTCATTCTTGCGAACCGGTGGCTCGTGAGGCGGGGACGAGAACGAGTCTCCTTTTCGGAAGAGACTCACTGCTTACAAGGAAGTGAAAATAGTCAGCCTCCTCTCTCTTCCAATCATGTAATGTAGCATAATAGTATCTTGGGTACCTTGAGCATTTGAGCACATCTTACATTTTGCCCCAAAGGTTAGACCTATTTTGCAAGTCTCACATGTTGCCTTTATGGAAAAATAAGCACTCATTGTGATTAATTTACCATGGAACTTTAAACTTAGGTGTGCGTTTTTTCATGGTACTTTGTGGTATTCATGCTCATCCCCAACTTCCATGGTCAAATGTAGATGCTTCTAAGAATGTCATCAGTATCAAAGCACTTTGTTTCATGCTACCTAGGAATTGCAATTTCCGCGTAGATATTGTATGATGATCTTGATCTAGTTGGTATACTCAAAGGTTGTTTGGGATGATGTTTTCTACCATTGTTACATCTATCCATCAAACTTGGTTTTTATTCAGAGTTTGATCAGATTTTTTTGGACATATTTTGAAACATCATCGTACAAAAAATAAACAGTTGAGTGTGGCACAAATACTTGACAAAAGTATTCCCTGATTTGCGCGTACAAATTCAAACTGTTATCTAAAGACAATAATACACTTATATTTTTATTTGGTAATTTATCACTCTCAAAAAAAAATTTATCTTTCAGATTTTATATTGCATGTAAATACACGATAAATATGCAAAGAGGTCATAAACTAGCAGAAATAAGATGTCTTAAATTGCGTCTTTTGATTGACATCATTTCAAACTAGAGTTGTGAAGTGTAAAAAATAAAATTGTACATGTTTACCTCCTTTTTGGTGAAACTGATCACTTATTATATCATTAGTACTTGTTTCCAATCTTGATATGGCAAAAATTCATGTTTATGTATCTTGGCTCAAACATGTAAAGGATATTTAGCTCGGATCAAAATTTCTTTTATTTTCAGAAAAGTGAGATTAAAATTTGTCTTCGTTCATACATGCGTAACTTAAATACTCACATGTGCATGTGCTCATGTTTTGAATGTAGTATGGGTGAATTTGATGCAAAGTATCAGATAGTTATTAATAATATTAGTTTGATGTGATATCTTATATGATACAAAGATTAAATAAACTTCATAAAAAGACATTCGTGGTTCAAAAGAGATACTGGCCATGCTAGACTTATATTTGAGATAAAATGATGACACCGAGACAGGCATTCACACAAAGAGTCAAGAGAACTAGTACTAGGTTCACCTCTGTCAGAATATGTTTACGGGAACACAAAGATTCTTATTCAAGATTCTAAGCTTTGTCTCTTTGAAGGCTACGACCAGATCTCTTATGAAGTAATTAGCTGACTAGTCTAACTAACTAAACTTATGGTACTTAGAGATAAGTAGACTTGAGTTCACTTCTAAAAAATAAGACTATGATACATATCTTAATTGTGAAAATTATTTGAATAAATGATCAGTTACATTTTTAGATGGATGGACTGAAATGATCATTACAAACAAGTACAGAGGAATATACAAAAATCAAATAATATAAAATAAAATGATTTTTTTCTAACTTTGAAATTGTATACATTTACGAATACCAATCATGGCGTTTTTGTAAGACCGTGAAATAGCACACCATATTTATCCTACTTGGAATTTCTTCTCTTTAGGTTATTGTACAACCTACTTCAGTCCATGTGTATTCATTAGCTTATTGATCAGCTTTATTACCTAACAATCCATCTGAGCAATCACATTAGATTCAAATTAATTTCATGGTACATGTTTTTTTTAAAATATAATGTCTAAGAGTCTGATACCCTAATGCATTACTAAATAATCAAAATTTTGATGCTTTTAGGCCAATCGTTATCTTCCCCTTTTGGTTTTATCTGTGTAAGAATTGCTGGAATCTTCCAACCATTTTTACTGTATATTTCTGTCAACTGTATACCTACACCCCCACGATGGTATCCATTGCAAGGGGAAGGGAGGGACGTAGTGAGGCCGACGAGACATGGAGGTTGTGGAATAGCCCCACCAGACCCGTGTCGCTACGTTTCTTCTCGCGATGCGGACGTTGTGGGAACTCTCTCAACCTTGTAGATCAGATCGGACCCGAAGGCTATGGGAGTGGTAGTGAAATTTGTAGGGCAGTGGGCGAGTTATCGGACCATGCATGGCCACGGTTTATCAGCCTGGCTCGTCGTTATGTGGCAGCGTAGCTTTCGTTGCGTTTTGCCCCCGTCTTGGAAAAAGTAGACGGAGAGAACACAAGAAAATAAAAACAAAGAGGATGGAAAGACCCTAACGATGACACCGAACCAAAACCTGTCGACATGGCACTAGTCCAAATCTGATCACAATTAGAAACTCTCTTAAAAATGTTCAATGGTTCCTCGATCGAATATGTTGCTTCTCACGGATAAACCTTACGAGATCATAATTCACAGTTCTTGTGTGTAGGATTGATGTACACGATGCCCTTGTCTGTCATTCACACTTGATTATCTCATGGCAAGGCGTAGCTGTGCTGTTGAAAGTAAATGCCCACGGTTTCTTCTTTTGACTTAGCTTCACTTTGAATAACATCACCTGGAAAAAATATATAATTATATTAAAGAAACTCTGACGGTAGAGAAATTTGCGAGGGAAAAACAGTCGATTTATGTGATTCAGTTTAACAAAAGGTTGTTTCATTATGAACACAGATGACCAGGCCTCTCTAAATACGGCATATACGGAACTTGAGGGCCAAAGTGCCGTATTTCGTTTTCAGAAAGTTCCTTATTTCCAACCAAAAGTATTTGTTGTCTAGGTGTAGAACCTTCCAGAGTCACGTAACTAAAATTTGGGGTGGTAATTTTTGACAAATCTTTGTTGATGTAGGTAGTTTTACTAGAGAAACTTACGCAAATATTCAGCTAAATCTTTGCCGTGATCGTTTCTGGCAATTTCTTTGTTCATTACCGTTACTTTACTAGAGAAACTAACTGAGTACTTGACTAAAACTTTGCGGTGACACCTGATGAGCTCAACCAAGTTCTCATATATTGTTTCCTTGGTTATCTCATTCACTTGTAATTTTGAAAACACAAAAACTTATTCAATTATTCTAAAATATCAAATAAGTCTCAAAATTTCTCGAAAACAAAAATACAAAGATAAAATAGTGAACCCAGAACATCACGAAGTCGATGTTCTAGCTATTGACTGAAAAGTTTGATTCCAGGTTTTAAAAATAGATTCCTTCAACATGGAGTTTTTCGTAGTATTAGTTTCACCATATCCAAACACTTCAACGGTGTGAAGAGTGATTTCTCCTTGCTAAAATGGGAAAAGTATATTTAGAGATGAAAGATAACACCCATTTCTCTCGAGGTTGTATTACATTGCTGAAAAATTCGGCCGAAAACTTGGAATTTTAGGTCAAAATTCGGCCGAAAACGGTAGAGTTCCTTATGTTCCGTATTTCGATTTGAAAATTATGCTTATTTTGTTGAGATACGGAACATACGGAATCCGCCCTATATAGAGAGGCCTGCAGATGACGGTCGATTCGCTGCCGAAAGCGAGACATGAAGTCCAACATGAGGAATCGCGGTAGCCATTCGAGCGTCGTACTAGAAAACACCACCATAATAATAACCAACGGGGTGAAGATCTGGAGGAGATTTGGAGCCACGATCTAGCTTCGGAGGGAGTAGGAGGCGGCTGGCTGGCTCACTGCGCAGTGAGCACGGGGGGTAACGTGGTTGCGCCGTTTTCTGGCATGCAGGAAGCGCGTCCGTATCATGATGGGAGCAGCCTCGGCGCAGATTCCTTCGCTTTCCCGGTCGAGAGTGCAAAACCGACCGGCCGATCTGCCGGTGTCACGCGGCGAGAACGCGGAATCCGTTGGATTCCCGGCGAGCTTCCCTGCCACCGGTGATGCCGGAGCCCCGCCGGCCGACGTCGCGAAGGATGATGTCGGCTCTCGCTCGGCCGGGGCTGGGGTTGGGCCTGGGGGTGTGGGTGTAAAGCACACGACTGTAACGGGTTAATGCGGTCGTTCTCCGCCGACGGAGACATCGGACGGCTTTTGCTGCCTCTGGGAATGGGGAACGATAGCCCCTTCGAAGGTGGGGGTTAGGGTTCGCTGGCATGGCCTCTCGTTCTCGTCCTCGTCCGCCTTCTTGGGAAGAGATGGATCCCCGAACGCACGTCAAAAAGCTCGGGGACAAAATGCTTCTTTTCTGCAGAGGCTGCCCTCGATCCCAACAAACTCGCCCGGAGCACATGACTTCCTTTACTCGCGTCTCGATCCGGAGGGCGAATTCTGGATCATCGGTGCGACGCAAAAGCTTGGTGAGTCATTCTCGGCCACGATCGATGGCCTCTTGAGCGAAAGGCTGCCGAGGAGGTAGGAGTGTCGGTCGGTCAGACGGCTCGTGCTGCAAAATGCACAGGGCTCATATCCAGTCTGCTGCAAAAGAGAGAATTGTAAGTCCGCGAAATTGGTGAGGAGAATGTCAGATATTTCACGCAACGCAGCCCAAAAGCGGCTCGGTCCCGAATGACCCTCCCCCGCCAAGCCGTCCGCACACCGTCAATGCGCCGGTGTAATACGACGACGAACGACCACGAGAGAGAACCGAAAGCATGCCCCCGCCCTTAAAGCGACGACACAACTGCCCAGGAGCTGGAGAGGTCGAGGTCGTGGTCGAGGTCATCTGGACCGCCTGGAGCCTATCTTCTGAACCAGCCAGCACCTTTCAGCCAGCTTCACTCACCCACTACCATCCCCTGCTGCTGCCACTTAACGACGACCCTCTGCACATCGTGAGTCGATCGATCGAATGCGTCGGCAGATAACGAACAAACGGTGATCGAAGTCTCGGAAGTGGGGTTCGGGCGGTGACTTTTGCCAGGGTCGTGTTTCACTCCTTCGCTCATCGTCGTCGATCCTCGAACCGAAGCTTCAATTCGCTTCGCTTTTGCCAGGCCCGTGAATAACTCACTTCATCGTATAACCTTCGCTTACGTCGATCCTCGAACCGAAGCTTCACTGGTCCTTTGCCGGGGCGCTATCATGGTGAGCGAGGCAAGCGAGGGGTGCGGATGTGCCGACGTTCTTACCTTAAGGGTGTACTCGTTACCACCTTTAAATGCCGTCCTGCAATTTCTTTGGACATGATGCACAACTTTGGCTCTTTACGAGCTTTGCGAGTTGTACATGACACGGTTGTGCAGAGAAAAGCCTGATGTTCGGGAAAATTACAGAGAAGATGGAATCGCGAAACAACAGGAGTCTCATCGATGCCTCTTACTTTCTTGCTTTTCGTCCACCGTCTCACCCGCGCTCTGGCGAGTGGGTGTGTGCGCCCCCTCTCGCCAGGCCCCATGGCCACGGCCCAAGAGACTGAGGCTGGGAGTTCTAAGCGCAAGTTGACCTTTCACTGTGGCTGCCACAGCATTCATTCACAGCAGGTCATGGGCATATGGGGTCAACAGGTGAGTGAAGCCACAAGCGAGAAGCTCGATCGTTTCGCCGGTCCTGTACAACAATGCGAGAGTGCGATTATGTCCATTTCTCTTCAAAACGCTCCGGCTTCGCGTGCCAGTGTCGTGAGAAAGACCCCACGTCGTCCTTCCTTCTTCTTCTCTCGACACGCGCACGCGAAGCAGCGAACGGGGCCAAATTCGGAGTGGGATGACGGTGCTCGCGTCCTCGTGAGGTTCACTTTCCGCGCGGGCCAGAGTGAATCTTTACGTTCTGCCAGTTCTGCCTCGTCGTCGAGGTGGCCAGCGGCGACGATCCACTGCGAAAGGGAGCTAAATGGAAGGAGGGAAAGATCTTGTGGCAGCGAGGCCCCATTGTTTACTGTATTCAATTCGGCAAAGGGGGCTGGGGCTGGGGGAGGAGGAGGAGGAGGCCCTAGGACGGACTCGGGGCCGGGGCTCACCACGCACTGACGGCCTGCCCCTGCCCCTGCCCCCCCCTGTCCGATAGTCAGGGCGCAGAAAGTAACCACACCTGGGGTTCTGTGGATGGACGACTGACGGACGACTGACGGACAACTGGCGGGCGGGGGTGGGGAGTGGGGTGCGCGGCTGGGGGAAAGGAGCGAGGGACTCCACTGGCGCCGAGGAAAATTGCAATTGATTGCCGTAGGGCCAAATCGATCGAGTGACTAGAGGTCGAAGTGAAAATTACTGCCGGAGTTAAGAGGTCCGGAGGAAAGGGGAAGCAGGGGAGGCGGAGGAGTGGGGCTCGGGGAGGTGGGGGAAAGCGGGGCCCAGAGGTGGGGGCATGGCAGGTAGTGCCAGGCGGGGGCCGCGGAGGTGGGGTTGTAGGTTCGGGGGAGAGGAGAGGGGCAGCCGAGGGGAGGCCCGGAGGAGGGCAACACCGTCTGCTCGCGAGCCGCATTGAAGACGCGGGCGGAGGGACATGTCATGTAGTGACTTGACATGTCATGCCGAATGACGCACATGTCAGGGCAGTGCATGTGCGCATGGCAGGCATACGTCAGGGCGCCGCTGCCGATGTGCTGGCCCTCCCATCGCATCCGCGTCACGTGCGTGGAAACGGGACTCGCCTCACTGTAGTTACAGTGCTTCCATTCCCAACCACTTGATGGAAGGCCACCATCCCTGTCACGTGACTTTACGCCTTCCCCTGCCCCCTTCCAACGGTCCCAAATTGTCCCACCCTCCCTGCCCCTGCCCCTCCCCACCCCTCTCCCTGCAACTCCCGTTCTCAAACCTCGACAAGATCCCCGCCGACGACTGCGTACTCCAGTCCACCGACTACGGACGCGGTAACAGCTGCGGCTCATCGACATGGTTCCATCGCATCGACGCAGTCCTCGGCGGGCCTGCCGAATAACAGACGCGAGGCCATCGGATTGGACGCGTTCAATCGCTTGCGCATCGTGAAAATCTGTCGAGAGTCGGTTGTGATTACGAGTGAATCATATCCGGCAGACCTCTCGATTCCATTGGGTTGGACTCGAATTTCAGCTCGTATCTCGTGGAGAGGTTTTCGAGTGGGCTATGGATGTGCCTCCGACGATCAGGGCCCGTGACAAGATCCCGCGACACAAAATGTCAAATTCGATGACATATCTATCGCCTCCAGGGACGAACCCTTTTGAAGTCTCCTCATCACGTGTACCCTGATTTTGTGCTGTGCTCGTAGGTTGTAGGCGGTGCAACGCAAGGCTAGCGGATCGGTACATCTGCCATGTTTGTTTTTTTTCTGCGGTTATTTCACATTTCTCGTGAAATCGATCCCAGTGTCGGGATCCAATCACCGTATGTCGCACAGTTCTTTTCCCTTCTGCTCGTATTCTTCGGAGCTGTTACGAATTTTCACAGAACACGATCATTCTAGGAATGTGCGATGCACAAGGTTTTCCGATAAGTACTATATATATATATATATATTCACTTCTGATTGTGAAATTCTTTCACACGGTTAGAGAAGCATGGAGATCTAATAATCTTCTTCTCGTATTCATTTTTTAAAAACACCGCATCAAAGAGCGCACGACCAAGAAAAATAGTGAAAATTTCTTTTAAGGTTTTTTACGAGCTTTTGTGGTAAAAATAAGAAAAAAGTCAAAGTTTCGTGTTCCCACCGACAAATTTGGTCAAAGGCTCATTTGCACATGAAAGTTTTAGTGCGTCTCTCATAATCTGCAAAGATGCTTTACATGACTGCCACAAACCTCGAAGCGGTTTATCAATAACTCTAACATCTACCAGTTGTTCGTAGTATGGGGTGAGATAACATGACCTTTTCATCCTATGTGAGATCACGCGATCGCTGCTTTATGTTTTACTTCTATTCGATCATATTTTTTTGGAACTATGGAGAAATTGGGTACACTGAATATGGAATATGTGATGCAATGGACCATAAACTCCTCAATATTTGATGACAGCAACTTGTTCACCCACATAGTGCAATTTACCGACTCCAAACCCAATAATATCAATCTAGAATAACCGGGGTGTTCCTCAGGAATTGCACATAAACAGGAGAATTTAATTATTATATGCAGGTATTTGACAAAGTCTATGTACTTCAGTTCTATGTACGCTTGAGTCCATACCGATTGCTCTGGATGGTAGTACGAGTAACACTGACTCAATGACGGAGTCGTCGAACATTGCTTCAGAACAGATTTTTATAAGAAAAGTCGCCAAGAGAACTATGAAGGAGATAAGTTTTAGTACATTCAGTAGTTGGTCCACTGGGCTACTAAAAAATATAGCCCGAATATATCTGCAAATATGACTGTAACTGATCTATCAAGGGCAAGTGGAAGATAATTTTGGCTCCGGAAATTTGGAATGTTATACACAAGTAAGACTAAACTTCCCTACACATTACATATTTAATACATGCCTTTCCGCAAAAATGAAGAAAAAATTAAACTCAATGACTCGCTAGTTGGAAAATAAAGATAACCTGCAAAAGTCTCTGGAAATGCACACTCTTGGATTCCAGCTCACGACAGAGATAATTCCATACAATTGCATGTATACCTCACTGAAAAATGCGTGTCCGTGCAAATCGATGGCTGGACGACTTGGACTAATACGGAGAGTGTACAACGGGGAAAGCAAGGTCCCGCAGCGCATCATAGATTCATGCCAAATGTGAAATCATATTCGGTCCGGAAACACGAGAATTTGCAATGGCATGAAAACATTGTGAGGAAAAGGTTCCTTAAGAAGAAGAAGAGGGAAAGAGACCTCGACCTTTCAACAGAGGCACAACCGGAACCGTCGAGGATAAGGTGTGCACAATACGCACAAGTGACACGCGTAGAGCTGCATGCCGTGGATCGAAGGACGAAGGACGAAGGTCGTCACAGAACGAAGGGGACGTGAGGCCATAACATTAAGAGAGGGCCTCGAAGAAGACGACGAAGTCATGGGGGGAGGGACTGCAGATGACACCACGCCGTAGATCGCACTCGGAGCCCGGCACACGTGTGAGAGAGAGGACCAGAAGGAGCGGATAGACGTCCGGCGCCCGAGCAGAACCGCCTCGCCACCAGACCGGGGCATGTGCTCCAACCGCGGATGGCTGGGGCTGGGGCAAACGCTGGTTTAATGCAGGCCCCTGGAGTGACAATTAGGGCACCTGATAACCGAAGGGGGGAGTCATTACGCCCGCGACAGGGGGTATGTTTGTTCATACCTGCGAGGGGGATTTTTAGTGAATGGAGATAATATTTTTTTTTAATTATTTTAATGGAGGGGTTGCCGACGCGTAAACATGTGTTGATTCTGATTTCTGCAGTGCTTAGAGGCATCTCGGCAGCGAGCGAGCGAGCGAACTGCCCCATCATTCACGTGCGGCATCCACCGACGTGCGCGCCCAGGGCCGACTGCCGGCCTCCACGTGCGGTCCTCGGCCATGGCCTTGTGCACGAAATGCATGGCTCGTTTGCCCCCCACCTGCCGCGCCCAGTGGCCCACGTGCTCCTGACGCCCAAATATTTTATCTGGACTATCCGAAGGAGATAGAGAGAGGGGCAGGGGCAGGCATCTCCGCCAACGGACGCTCACGTTTCTCCGTGGCGCCGGACATCCAATGGCCAGCGCGCGTGTGGCGCGTGCGAAGTGCCCGACGGGCCGCGCGGTTTCCCTCGGAGTTCCGCTGCTGGGACCGTCATGGCGCATGACTTGGAAGCAGAACCGCTGGACCGTTTCACGTGCCGCGCCATCTTCGCCACAACAAAGAGGCGCCTCTTCCTGCGCCTACGGCTCACTGCCCGGATATCCACGTGACCGTGGCTAGGCGACTTGGGGCCCTCCTAATATAGCGGCGCCGCCTTCAAAATCCGCCTCCCTTTTGGCTACGACCGTGGCCCCCCCGTGCGAACCTCCAGCCCCGGGTCCTCGGAGACAGCTCTCTCGGCTGAGTCGGCACGGTGCCGCAACGGCCCGCCCTTGCCCGGAGGCGTCTTCGAGGATCTCCGTTGCCACGCACGACGACGTCCGCACGCTTCGACGTGGTGACGGGTTGTCAACTATCGCACAAGGTCCACTGCGGTCTATGAAAGTCCGCCCGTTCATTGACCCTACCACTACCAGGTTATGCTACCTTTGGATGGTCGAACCTGCAAATCCGTCAAGACGAGTGGGAAGGTTAGAGCTGAGAAGGGGCTTAAATGTTGGGTGTATATATATTGGGTAAGAGAATATCAAGCCCTACCACTAATGTAAACTGAATTGAAACGACTATTAGCTAGAGTATTTATCTACATAGAAGTATTTGCAAAGGCTAGACTAGGAACGATGGAATCATACTAGCCTTCATCACCAGATGAAATTGCTCTCTAAGAGCGATAAAATTAGGTTACAAAAATTGCGTTACCATCCATTGTAACAAGCTCTTGCACATTCTCCCACAAACATGTCAAGAACCGAGATTAATCTCCAAATTATTTTTTCCATATTTCTTACATGAATGAAAATTGGAGCAAAATGAGTCATATGATTAAACATATCTATCCACTTTTTGAGATCCTAGCCTTTAATCGACATGAAGTTACATGCTTCTAGCTTTACTATGTTGTTTGAAAAACACAGTCAAATTTTACTATATTGGGCAAAAAGTTGAATCACTATCTTTAACTAATTGTGTACATCATGGTTGTCAACATGTTATCATTGTCCAAAAAACATTTCTTTGTGTTAGTCATGGTTTGCAATTAATCTATTTATTTACATTAATTATATTATATTTAAAATTTCAAAATAGCATACAAGATGTAAGATTCAAGTTGTCAACCTACTTTAAAGATACTCTAGTCACTAAAAGCAGAATTTGTGTGTCAATATTTCAAATTGATTGTCGCTCTCATTGATATAATCAATAAAGACAAATAAAGTAATGTTGTATCCCCATGAAGTTAACATATGTAAAGATGAATCATTATTATTATTCTAATCTTGTTGCATCATTATGTTTGAATGAAATCTACAATTATTCTCAAATTTTAAGTTAGAGACAAAAATCATCAATCAAGATCAAAAATATATATTTAATTAATAATTCAAATTAATAATTTATTAAAAAATATATTATATCAATGTAACATCAAACAAATCTAAGCATATCTGATTAAAAAAATAATTTCTTAATATATATATTTATTTATTTATTTATTTGAATCAGCATGATTTGAAGTTGGAGGTTGTGAGGATGATGAGCTAATTGAGAAAGAAAGCAATCACTGCAGATAAAAAAAAAATTCCAACTTATGTGAAAAAAAAATGATGAAATTTTTTATTAGAAGTACTAGACATTCAATCAAGAAAATTTTCTGTGAAATAAAAGTTATATAATTGCTTGCTCCATTTAGTTTTGTGAAATCTTTCCTGTTGAGCACGGATTTGAATGATTGATTGAATGTGGTTACTTCTTTTTTATTCATTCATGAGATTGATCTCGAATTGGTTTTATTTAGTCTACAATCAAATTCTAATAAACAATGATAAAAGTATGTATCATAAGAATTTTTTTTGAAAACTTTCCATAAAATACCAATATTGATTTTAATGTTTACAATCACAATATATGAATCACAATACATGAATCAATGATAAGAATGCTAAAATTAACTCATATTGAGTTAAGTTAAGTTAAATTGATATTAATTTAGAAATTACAATCATATTAATATGGGTATAATTGTAGTTTTATATGACACAATCAAAAAATTTAATAATCACTTGTGTAATCTCTCGAAACCTAGAATTTTAGTGAAACACATAATCTTGTAGCATCATTGTGTAAATGGTTAAATTTTTTTTTTAAAGATACATCATTTTTGAATGTTATATTTTGAAAATAATTTGATTTTATTTTTAATATTTCATCTTTGGATACAATTTAAAATTTGAACACTATTGAAGCATTAAAAAATTAAAAAAATTAAAAAGTATATATATTTGATTAGCTACATATTTTTTTATTTATGTAAATAAATACTATTTTATAAATAAAATAAATTCTGTTTTTTGGAAATAATAAAAATAATATTCTTATTTTTTAATAATCATTTAAAATAATTTTATTATCCTATCAAAAATCAAAAAATGTTATTTTTATTTGAAAAGGTTCATGTAAAATATTTTTCAAAACATAAAATCTAATCTAAAGATTGATATCTGAGATTTTAATACAGTTTTTGGATTAGAAGAAAATTATAATTTTATAAACTTTACCTTTTCGTGCGTCTCTGTCTTTTTTCTTGTATCACTGTATATTCTCTTATGTCAGTTAGCTTTGCCATCTACTCATGCAACTAAACTTGAGTAGAATATATTCAAGGAATTTTCACAAAAACATAATTACCTACAATCAGGATTGAGTCAGAGGTTCTCCAAATATACTTGGTCAATAACGTGAGCATCCACTCTCAATTACAAAAATGAATAGAAATTTTATGTTTATGAATACTAATAATATTTTAAATAATTTCCAGATATAATTTTATA